CCATCAAATTATATATAATTTCAATTTGAGTACAAAATTTTTGTGACAAAAGTATTTGTAATTTAATTAAAAGTTTATTCAGAATGCTCTGAAATTTTCGTTGATTTACATTTTGTAGGGCATTCTTTAGCTTAAAATACAGATTTCATTGTACTGGGCATTGATTTTTCCAATAATTCCCCCAGGGATATTGATGTCCATTTTAGATTAAGTCAAAGCCTTTGTCAGCATGCACTGTGGAAAAGGACAAAAGCTTTTTTCTGTTAAGCTCTGGCACAAGAGACTTAACTAGAATCTAGTCCATAAAACCCTACTTCATAAAAAAAAAATGTGGCCATAGGAGATTCCGAGATTGTAAAACCTTGATTAAAGATCTATGTTAGATTTTTTGCAGCCCTTAATTTCGTTTTTTTAATTACACATACAAAATTCGTAGAAATTTTAATCATTCGTACAAAAGATGCTGGTTAGGGTAAATTTTACTTAACATTAAGGGTTTTTTTTTTCTCCTCGTCTACTTAGCGACATGTTTTCAATTGTAACTATTTCGTTCATGTCTATATGTAATTCTTGAACTGTATTGCTCGTGGAGATTTACATTGATTACGAAGCTTGATTATAGATTTCCGTAGTTCCTTTTATCTTTAGCTTAAATTGAAGAAAATATTAACAGTGATCCATGGCATGGTCATATATATATTGTTTTTGTGTGTGTTACGTGCATGTGTTGTATATATATATATATAATGAATGTGTATGTATATATGTGTCCGTGTGAATGTATTTATATACATGTATACATAAAAATAGTGCGTGTGTGTGTGAGCATGATATGTATATATATATATATGTATGTGTGTGTATAAACTTATAAATGCAGTCCGCACGTGTGTGGTGCGAAAATTTTCTTAACTTAACAGCTTTTAGGAGAAAAAAATTGTAGTCATGAAGGCATAGATATTTTTAAATATTTCGAATTGCCGATAATTTTAAAATTTTGTCTTAAAAATATTAGAAATTTTCACGCTAAATTTTCGTTTTAAAAGCATTACTAATTGTTGCGCAGCATTGACTTTTACCTGTTCTTTAAAAGCGCGATTGAAATATACAAATACTTTTGACAATGTTTGTATCGGTGGGGGGGGGATGGAAATCTAATTCTTCCCTCATCCTAGAATCCAACAGTCAAACTTTCTTATCTACAGATTTGTCCTGCTAACTGCTTTTTTTTTCCCCCTATTCTTTTATTCCTTTTTTTAATTATTTTTATTTACAACAGTTATTTTAAATTTTTACAAACTTTACTAATATTGATTTAACTTTTTTTTTTGTCTAAAATTTAAACAGTTACCACTGTATAAATTTTATGAAAGTATTTATGATTTATTTAATCATGCAATACAGTCAAACCTGTTTTTGTGCAGGAGATATAAAAAAATATTTTGATACTTCATAAGTATCTATAAAATATATTGTTTGCAACACGTTTAAAAAAAAATATTATACATAAATAGCGATCGCATAAAAAAATATCTAAATAAAACTTCACCGTCGGATCCAATAACATTCGTGGTTATGGGATGATATAATCAGATGAGCCATCTGTTGGATTTTTTTTTTTTTTTTTTTAATTTGCATGTTATTTTGACAGTAATCTGTTGTTTTCGTCTGAATTTTGTAGGAAATCTATTATGACCTTGGAAAATAAAAAACTCATTTATCTTGCTTACTTGCATATGCGAGTCCTGTTTGGGGAACTACTGCTCCGTCGAATTTTGAGATCATACAAAGACTTGAAAATAAAATCCTACGTATGATTACAAATTCGCCCTGGTTTTTCAGAAATGAGGATAACAGACAGGCTCTTTCCTTTCAAAAGTTTTAAACAAATTGTTTATAAAATTGCACAAAATTTTTATAAATCCATTCCAAATATTAATAATTCTGTTTTAAATTAACTAAGCAACTATGATTACGACATTTCTGATTTCAAAAATTGCAAAAGACCTCGCGCTGTTCTGAATATTATTCGTTAACATTTTGATATCCTCCTTTCCAAATTGCCATGCAGTTTCACCGCTGAGTTACAATTTCCCCTCCAATTATTTTTGTTTCTGTTGTTTATTTTATATTACCCTTTATTACTTAAATAATATTTTAAAAAATAATAAATTTATGCAGATATAAATTTAAAAGAAAAAAAAAGTTTACAATTTTTCAAATAAATTAATATATATCTTACTCTTTTTCTATCAAATCAATGGTCTTGAAGCTTAAGAAACTTCTCTCATTCGCAAAGCAGAAGATAGTGGTTGCTATCCAACCAAAGCTCTCCGTCAACTTGGCAAATCGTCGTCGTTCATCTGAATTACATTTTTTAATTATTTCAATTCTTTCTATTAGCTCACACTCTCCCTATATATATATCTTGTTCAAATTTTCAATCGTTCATAAAATACTTTTTATTCATCCACTCAAGTTCAAATACATTTTATTTGAACTTGTAGTGGATGACACTGGATGTTAATACAGTTTTTTTTAAATATTAATTCATTAATTAAATTTAATTAATTAATTTTAGTTTTTTTTAGATATAAGTTGCATATATCTACCAACAGATGGCCCCAGATAAACTTAACAAAAATGAATGAAAATTATTTATAACGGACTTTCTGCAATATAGTGAAAAAAAAAAGTAGGAATTGACTTAAAAAACTTTTTTTATATTACTTTTTATTAATAATATGCATTTGATGGAATTATATATATATATATATATATATACCTATATATAAAAAAAAATTACACAAAAATGGACCACATAAAAACAGGTTTGACAGTACTCCTGTGTTTGCTCAGTAATACGTCCATTATTACTGAGCAAACACAGATAATTTAGGCTCTGTTCACTGGATAAGTAGACTGAGCTAACAACCAGATCACTCGTAAGTGATTTTAAATTGAATGAAATTTTTAACGCATAAGTAGACCAATATTTACTGAAAGTATCCACGTCAAAAGAAAAAAAAAAAGCGTAGTTGTCAATTAGTGTATCCTGCCAACCACAATTGCAGTGTAACTTACATGTTCGCTACTTTTTTATGCTGTACTTATTGGGCAATCTACCATTATACTGCATTTTTAAAACTATTTTTAAAGTTTAAATTATTTTCGAATATTCTTTCTTTCGATGTATGGATGCATCGGAAATGTCTCATGAGTATAAATGACGCCACGAGCCGTAAGTGGTCACAAAAAGATGTAAATTTGCAAGGAATTAAACAGAGGATTTATTCCTCCCATGTCCTGTTGAGGAGTGAGCTTGCTTTAACAAGCGAGAAGTGTAAAAATGAACAGAATGCGCTTTGTTATTGAATTAAAGAGTTGTAGTGCTGTTACTGTCCGCTGAGTGTGTGTGTGTTTATTTGGAGACCATAACATTTTTCAGAAGATGCTGTTCACTTAAGTTTCTAAGAAAGAAATGAAATGTTGCGGCCATATTATGTATACTTATGTCATACTGTAGTGTGCAGGTTGGGCAACTACGTGTTGTTGGGTTGAGATACTTGAGGCACAGGTTAGAGAACACACAGCTTTATTTATACACACACATATAATTAGAGACACACAATATTTATCACATTTAAAGACATATAATTATAGATTCGTGGAAGGATTCCACTTCTAAGTCGAAAACCCGATACTCAGCTACGCGCAGTGTGCGCGAAACATACTTCCTCTCCGGATGATAGTCTGTATGCCAATTACTACGCAGGATTGTGTTAAATATATTTCCTCTCTGGGTGAGAAACTGCAAACTAAACGTTTCTCAGCAGGAACGCAAGTTTCACTGTATTTCCTTTCGGAGGAGAGTCTCGAAGCCTACTGACCATTTCTCCTGAACGCCACAGGAGGTGTTCTTGCCAGTGTATAGGAAGAAGCATGGTTGCAATATTAAGATATTCTTATTCCCTTCCTGGAAACATATGCTTCCAAGTTACTTCCTATAGGCATTCGTCTACGCAATTTGTTGAAGATATAATTTTTATTTACGATACGAAATGGAATTCTTAACGTTTGGAACATAATATTTTGACAATTTAAAATTCCTTTGTTGCATTAAAATAATGTCCATTTAATTGTACACTCTTTGCAACCGTATTCCTTTGCATGAATCGCTTAGGAAATCAGCAGAGTTATATTTTATTTTTATCCCATATTTTTGAACTCATCTACAGTAGCGATAATCAATTGCTAAATTGATTTACTGAAGACCTTGTAAAGTCACCTGCTCATTTTTTAAAAATCTTAACTTCAAAATTGGATTTAGTTTTCTACACTGCCAGTCATTATTTTACAGCATTTTGGTATCGATTGTATACTTTCTTGCCGAGTGGGGAACACTTTCAAACTTCAAGCAGGAAGAAAGCAAAATATAAATCTACCAACCCGTTTTGCAGGTGGTAACACAAGGGGAGTGGTGAAGGATTTAAGACTCTTTCAAAATAGTGACCTCTTCCAGCTGCCTGACAGGGAGGATGTTTACTGTTTACCTTCCTTGCTTGCTTCCCAAATAGTTTTTGGAGTTTCATGAGGAGTTCTTTTCAGCTTCTGTTTCAGTAGAGCTTATGGATTGGATGAGATTTAAAAATTTAGAAGTAGAAAAATCAGTAAGTAGTACACTATGGAAAAGTACAGTGAGTTGTCTTTACAAATTTAAAATATAATTTAAGAAGAATTAAAAATAAAGCAATACTAATTAAAAATAGGAGAATGCATAAAATATTTATATTATAATAAGGTTTTTTTTTTTTATTAAATTAAAAAAGAATAGGAATTTAAAAAAAAAAAAAAAAAAAAAAATTCGACTTTCGATATTTCCATATACTATTAGTTTGGCGACCTAACTATTAAACTATAGCAGCTTAACTGTAGGAAGATACCTAAGACCAACGGCCGTACCATGCTGAATATACCGTACCATGCTGACCACATGGCCGTACCATGCTGGTTCTCGTTAGATCACCGAAGTAGCATCATTGGGCGCGGTCAGTACTTCAAATGGGTGACCACCTGGGAAAAACCGCGTGCCGTTAAAAAATTTGGGACCTGAATGGCCGAGTGTCTAGCGCTCGGTGCCACAGGAACCGGGTTCGAATACCGGCGGTGCCATGGATGTTTGTAGTGGTTCGGAATCCACTTTAAGCTGTAGGTCCCAGTCTCCTAGGACTGTAAGAGCGTCACGGAGCAAAAGTCAGGCTTCTACCTATGGGTGCTCCATTACAACAGAAGCTGCTTCCTTCCCCTTCAATCATGAGCACGTATGGGCTCGTGGGCTTGGCCAGCCAAGTGGGATAAGAAACAACAACAAACAGATACCTAAGAAGAATAAAAAAGGAGTTATTTAACGTCAATGTCTGAAACCACAAAAACTAAGGAAGCTGTTGCCAACTTCAACAGGAAAAGTGTCCCAATTGTTTGCTTGTTTATAAAAAGTGATGTCTGCTTCCGCAGAGGACAATTTTTGAATACATAGCAACTATCAAATTTAAAAATATAGTCCTGTTGGTCCAAAATGAGTTTTTTTTTTTTTTTTTTTAATGAATTGTGATTTGCTCAGTTTTGGTGAGAAAAGAGTAATACTTCTTGGTCATTCTTCTAAAAAAAGAAACAATATGCCTGCCGTTTTGATGGTATTTGTAAGTTAAATTTAGTTTGTCGTTCTACGGTCCTAATCACACTTTGGGCTAATTAGTCCGGGACCTACAGTTTAATGTGAATTCCGAACCACTAACAAACACCCATGCCACCGCCAGAATTTGAACTTAAGCATGAAATAATAAACGTCAGAACGCTAGCCAATTGGCCATCAGGCTGCGAAGTTTGGTATTAAGAATATAATAAGTTGGTAATATATCTCTCTTATTGCATAATTCTGATCCATAATCAATCAAAGTTTCTGGAAGATGTTTTATTTTATTTATGTCTCATTTTTTTTCCTTCCTTTTTTATTTATTTATTTATTTCTACTCTTTCTGCATCAGTATTCAGGTTTTGACATTCTTTAGTTTTAGAACATGTTTTTCTATTCATTGACGTCTGACTATCATTCTGTACAGAATGTTAGATGTTGTTCTATCCTAATTTTCCTACTTTTCTAGGTAAGTCTTACATTTATTTTATTCTTCTTATGACACACTGTGGGACGAAATGTTTGAAAATCAACATTACTCTAGGCAACTGTTTTTTTACCTAATGGCAAATAGTAAAACACGTTCATATTAAAAATAATAATGCTAATAATTACGTGTGAATAAATAATGAATAATTAAATAATGAATAAATAATTCAAAGTTGATAGTTTGTTAGGTAGATTAGGGAATAGCCAGAAGTAGCACGATGCTAAATCAGGTGGATACGGTGGTTGTGGAGCGATATGGGTTTCATTTTTGGCGAAAAAGTCACGAAGAATCAATGCAGTGTGAGTGTTTTCGGTACCAATCGAGATTTGACGCGTTTGAGGCCCAGAATGGAATTGACCGATCCTTTTGAAATTCTAACATCATCAGCAAGGTCTCTAATTGTAAATCGACGGTTTGCAAGCACCAAATCTTTAATTTTTAGACGTGAGCTTCGTCGTTTGAGGTTGATGGTCGTAGAGAGGGCTCTTCATCTTCAACGCGTTCTCTGCCTTCATTGAACTGTTTATATCACTTGTAAACATTTCTTTCCGACATAGGAATGCTCACCGAATGCCTTCTGCAACATTCTATACTGTTCCGCAAGCAAAAGTGAATGCAACGTCTTTGCTCAATTAATTCAGACATTTCAAAAATCACCGGAATCAATTTTACCGTCTCACAAAGCTCATTTACATTTATTTACCCAATCATTCTAGAAAGAAATTATAAAATGAATTTATATCTGTAAGAATTATTTTTCAATAACTCATTCTATTATAAAGCAGAGATTATATTTCTAGATCAAGGCATGTGTTCTTTATTCTTCTTGACTATTCAACAATATTTTAAAGGAAAAGGAAGATAGATTTTAAAGAGAAGATGGATTTCATTGCGATTTCAAGCGTGAAAAGTAACTAAAATATGTATATTATTTGGAAATTTAAAAGAGTAAGAGTTAATTAGCCGGTGACCTAAAATATTCAAACATGATATTTCAGTATTTAGTTATTCATTTCAAGAACTTGCTCTCCGCCAATATGTGATCTTCTATAATTTTATTCATTGTAAATTATTTTTATTTAATTAAGAACCAATGAAAAATGTTTATTACAGTAAAAAAAATCATTAACTCCGTTTTCTTATGATAACAACAAATATTGAAAAGTTTACCACTCGAATATTCCCATTTATTTACCTAGTCATTATCTTCTAGGAAAGAAATTAGAAAATTAATCATATCTGTAAGAGTTATTTTTCAATAACGCTCTATTCTATTAAAAAGCAGAGATTATTTTTCTAGAACAAGACATACTTTTTTCCAATCTCCTTGCTTTAATTGCCTCATAGTAGGAGATGTTTTCTAATATTTTTTTCTGTAATTTAAATTTAATTTTTCTCTTTTTTTAAATCTAAGCAATTACATTTTATGCAAATTTTATTATGGAGGTTTAGTGGCACTTAATACCTTACTGGAACTCCATAATCAGATGATGGATTTCATTGAGATTTGAAGCGTGAAATAAAGATAAATCTGGCAACTGGTATCGATTACGGAGAAACGGATAATGGGGATAAGACTCCTTAACCTCCTCATCTTGATTCATATATATATTTAAAATTATAATTGGCTGCTTAAAGTTAGTAGGTGATTAAAAAAAAAGTTTCTAGAAATTAAAAATGGTACTCTAAAAAATTTAACAAATACTACAAATAAAAGTTAAAATTAAAATTAAAAGAATTAAAGTTAAATTTCGCTACAATTAAGGACCAGTTGTCGATGTCATAAAAATATCACATAAAATTAAAATTGTAATTGTGGGCCGTAACGATGAATCTGTAATAAAAGCATTACAGTGAGCCCCCCATCCCCTCCCCCTTTCCAAAAAAAAAGGCCGTTCTCAGAACTAAAGTTCTGGTATTTTATTATATTAACTCTTTCTTACGATAGCAATAATTAATGAAAAACATAACAATCGAATATTTACATTTATTTACCCAACCATTATTTCCTAGTACAGAAATTATAAAATTCACTATATCTGTAAGAATTATTTTTCAATAATATTTCATTATATTAAGAAGCAGCGATTATTTTACTAGAACAAAACGTTAAATTTTTTTATTCTTTAGAACTATTCAAGAATATTTTAAAGGATGAGGAGAGATGGATTTTAAAGAGACGATGAATTTCACTGAGATTTGAAGCGTGAAATAACAATAATCGATTTCACAAAAAAAGTTCCATTTGCAAGTCTACCAGAAACTTGCCTTCTGGTCAAGGGGTCAGACGGGTTTTGTTTGGACCAAAAACAACTCTGCTGGTGGGGTGCATTTTATGGGATACGTTTTAGTTCTTAGTCAAAGTAGAGCAAGAAATAGAGAAGGGTATGGGGTTGGAGAATTTGTCCCACTGACCAAAAGTCGCCAGGCGCAAGAACTTCAGGGGTCAAGATGACCTTGACCTCTGCCCTTTCCTGGGGTTTTGCAATTCAGTTCCATCTCTTCTGCATTGAATAAAAGCTTATCTGCCTGGCTAGAATGCTGTGGGACAGAACTTGTTTTCGAAAAGGGTAGTTTTAAATTGAGGGGTTGCATGTATAACCTTGAAATCACTTTTGGCAACTGGCGTACCGATTACGGAGTACCAACAGGGGAAATACCCCTTAAACCTCCTCATCTTAATTAATAGATATGCTTTAAGTTTTAATTGGTTGCTTAATTAGGTTAGTGAAAATACAAGATAAAGTTTCTAAAAATTCAAGTTAAATGGTACTCAAAAAGGATAAAAATACTAATAAAAATAAAAGTAAGGTACAATATAAAAGAAATTAAAAATAAATTAAGTTCAGTACAATTAGGGACCAGTTGTCGATGCCAAAATAATGAAAAAGTAAACAGAGTTATTACAAACTCATATAACCAGGTAAACAGGGAAAATTATGCTGAACGGTGAGAGCAATGTAGGTTGATCTGTAAAGTAAATAATTAGTCCACACAAAAAAAAAGGCCAAGTCAGGACCGTATTTTTAAAGTTTTCATTTTATAATTTTTTTTTTTTTTTTTTTGGTTTTATTCCATCCTTTTATTTTCCTAACAAAAAAAAGGGGTAAAAAAGCGTACAATAAAAACCTAACTGTTCACTAGCCGTTAAGAAAGGATTAAGGTGCACAACGTAGCAAAGATATTAAAATTGTGAATTGTGCCGAGTGCCGGCTTCGAACCCTCAACCTTACGGTCGGGAGTCCGTCACCTTACCTCTGCGCCAATTCGTTTTGTTTACTAATAGAGCCGCGAAAACTTTTAAAGCCAAACGACTCCTCAGATACACAGTGAGTTAATTGGTCTCAGTGGACGTAAGATTACAACAGTAAATCCACTCCGTTACCTGAACTCGCGATCGCTTGTTCAGAATAACAGCCATGATGTCTCTTAACTCTAGGAAAACAATCATAGGAGACGTCGTAAACAGCCCTTGGGCGTTTCTGCGAACTTTTCACACCAGGGTGATAGGTAGGCAGGTGACGGATTAACTCATTGCTAATCTGAGGACATTTTTCTAGAAAATTCTTAGAAATTTTGAGTATATAATTTGGAATAGGTTCGACGTCTAGATCTCTATGAATGATCTTTCGACGAACGAACCATGGCACATCAGCAATCATAGCCAGGTGTTTATTCTGGAACACCTGAAGTCTCTTGATATTGGTGAGGGAAGTGGAGGCCCAAATCGGGCTACCATAAACCAGAATAGGTCTAATGATAGACTTATAGAGCAGGAGCTTGTGTTTGATTGCAAGCCTACTCTTTCGAGAAATTAGGCAGTTGAGTTTAATACTCGCACCAGTTGCTTTTGCAACTGTGTTCTTAATGTGGGAATTAAAAGACAATTTTGCGTCTAGAAATAACCCTAGG